TAATATGATATTAGTATATTACAATAAATTGTTATTATACCTACCCATATCTTGTTCACTGTGTTGTAGTATCTATAGTGGTTCCCAAACTTGTATGACCGCGGTACCCTTACGAAAAAGTTTCGTGTTTCGTGGAACCACAACGTCTGTAAAACTGCTCCATTTGTCATCCCATTTCTTACCTCCAATTATAGTCGCAATCGCCCCAATGAGTCAACCACCTTTTAGTATGTTAGTTCTGGTTACTAACACTGCTACAATTCAAATTATACTATGTTCTGTAAATTATTTCGAAACAATTGTCTAAAAAAAAAAAAATTATTATTTATGTGAACTTTTTTTTTCAAGTACAATATAAAGTTATTTTATTTCAATATTCTTTTATAGAATTATAGAACTTTAAGGTTCTGCGGAACACACTTTGGGAATCTCTATTCTAGTATTTTCGTTAGGCAATGTATGCGTTTTATACAGGATGATTAACCAAGCCTGCCTACCCCAATTTTTTCCTTTAATAACAAATTTATTCAAATTCTGATATTTGAAATTTTTAAATACATATAGGTAAGTACTCAAAGACAATTTTTTCAAATTCTTGAATGTTTTTGTTCTCCTTAGTGTCCAGCTGTGGTGATAATCACTTCTGTTTTTCAAATGAGAACTGCTTTTTACTGTAAATTATTTAATGGATATTTTTTGAAAATGTTGATGTAGGTACCTAGTTCAACATTTGAGTGAGTTGTTTCTTATAGTTTAATAGATTTGTATTAAGGATAATAGCCCTTAAAAGTGGTTTTATAAAAATATAAAATGGACGTAATATTGGAACTATATAGTATTGATAATACTTGGCAAATGTTTACAAATTATTAATGTTAATAGATTAATACTAATGACAACAATTTTAATATCATTACAGCCCCCATCTTATATCTTATAAACCCATTACCATGGACATTCTATGCATAGAACACAAAGTACGAATTTTAATTCTGATAGTCAAATTGTTCAGAAAAATTATCCGATGAATAATTTACAGTTAAAAAGTGGGTTCTCATTTGAAAAACAGAAGTTTGTATCTCCGCAGGACACTCATTATTAGTAGTAGGTACAGCAAATCTGAAGAATTTAAAAATATGGTTTTTAAGTATACTTATGAATTCCAAAAATCTAATTTTAAAAAGCTGCATTATTGTAGAAAAAAATGGGTGAGCATGCTTGGTGAAGAATCACCCTGTATATTATATGATAACGTAGCTGCATGATATTTTTGGTGAGATATGATGAAAGTGAGACGGTGAAATGGGGAAAAACATAGAAAAAAGGTTTCTATGAGGAAGTACTAAGTCTATAAAACACAACTTTTAAAAATGCTTATTTATGATATTCACTTAATCATAATTTTCTTATATAACTCTAGTCTCTAGTAATGAATAAAATGAACTAGTGCTATGATTTTTAAAGATGTTTAGAGTGTTTAGACCTTTGGAGTCCTCTCAACCGTCTCAAATGTTAAGCGTTTTATCTATATACGTCTCTACTATAATATTATGATATAGATGCAGCGAAGTCTGTAGAATTTCTTGATTGAAACCAAAACTCGCTAAGACTCATGAAACCTAAATAATGACATTTAATTAATATACCTCCACTCACACCGCCATCGTTTTATATGGATTATGATAATAAGCATGCATAAACTTATGGAAACAAATATTTTTATAACATTTCGAGATTTACGGTTACATACTGGTGCAGCATTGTAATCGAGAACAAGGTGATTACAAAACAATTTCGATCTCGTCGAATAGTAATCAACTGCTATATTATTATAATATATAGGTACATGTATAGCAGCATTGGTAATACGCGTATAACTGTGAATGTTTTCATATCCATATAAGTACAAACAAAACACGAAATTTGTTTAAAAAGATAACTTCTTATTTTTCGTGACTTCGATACAGAATAGTGCGTTTTTGTATAACGAATAGTTTTTGTACAAACGGAATTTAGGTTCAAAAAATGTAGTACATTTCCATTTTTCGGCGTTTAACTTTTCTCACAAGCAATATGAACACTTTTATAGAATAATCGACCGCTATAATAATATATATTATTTGATGTCATAGCTTACATAATACCTATATATAAAAATCTACTTTTCGTTAATTATTTTAACTATGTTGCTCGGGTTATATACTGGAGTCTGCTGCAAACCTCTGATATCATCATCTCACTCTATAGTAAAAGCTGTTCGAATTCGTGATATGTATTATATAAAAATTAAGGATATAATATATATTTTATTCACTTATTGTAACTTTAATTTCTTTAAGGGGTAATAATTTATCTATAATATAATGAACATTCATTTTGTAATTTGGACGTAACATACGCTAAATATTTATTATTTAGACTTGAAGAATAATAACTTATCATTATGTCCTTGGCGGTTTTTTTCTAATATTCAAACTGTGTACGTTTCGCGCAGAAAATATCAATAATAGAGAATTAAATACCCACCTAATAACGTTTGTGTATATTGTACCTATACTGCGTGCACAAGAGCATAATATTATTGCCCTATTTTTCATATATTTAGTATATTCTATTCCAATGTATGATACATAGCAACAATATTCCACCCGTGTCGAGCACGGGGACAGTATTATTATTATTTAGAACGAAGGCGAACGCTTTGTCTACGGGTATTTATGCAATATTAATGAGATGCCAATAGTATACACGTTTACCGATACCTATAATAACAGTCTGTACGGCGGTAGGTTCAGAAAAATAATAATGAAATAATTTGACACGCTTAACAATGGTAGAGGTTAATTTAACTGATAAGAAAGTAGTTTTCGGTATAGACCGCGTAGTATAATAATATTATATATAGGAGGCCCCATCGGTAATAGGACGTTAGTTAGGTATATATAACAAAATATATATTTTAACTATATATGTATATATAAATAAATATATATATATATATATAGGTACTGTGCTTAAATTATAATACTCATACTGGCTGTAGTACTCTTTGCATATAAAATATATTATCGGTTTTTAATAGAACGTTGTTCAGTGTACCTATATAACGTGCGTTGTTACTCGTATAATATTATTATCCCCAATGTTGTTATATAAGCTAAATTATTGCACGTGACTCATAATTTTTTTTAACATTAAATCACGCTTAACAATGCGTCTGTAATAGTGTAGTTATATTAGAAACATTTCGAAACCCGCTCTTGTATAATATATAAATATGAGTATTTCTATCTCGTCTAAATACAGCAGACTGATCTACAGCTGATCGGATTTAAGAATTGCATTTTACAAACAAAAACTATAGTTATTTAAAACGAGTAGGTACCTCCTAATGATGAAATCGTTTTACGTCAACTGCCGCCTCCCGACGTTTCTAGTGTTTCTACTGTTATTCCAGCGTACATTATGATATTATAATATTATGACGTGTGATGTGTCTGTTTATCGTTACACTTTTATAATATAGGTAGGTTGTTTTTAACATCGACGACATTAACTTACTTATCAACAGTGCGTTGCTGCGTTGGTTAATAGAAGTTCAATGTACGTCCATCTACGACATTCTGATTTTTGTTTTACTTATTTTTATATCAATAAACTAAATCAATACTCATCCGATCGTACTGAATAATTCACTATGACCATGAAAACGTTGTGTTTTATAATGTACAAGGAGCATTGTGTATATTTTATACGGCATTACTATGTTTAATGCATTGATGCTTAAACTAGGTAGGCATTGTTTTAAAAATTTTGGGGAAATAATAAAGGTCTATATAAATTAGTGTAGCTGTTTATTATTATGTTTGATTGCATTCGACTTACATTGGCAGTATCATAATACGAATGACGATTAAAAAAATAAATCAATATCTGTATTATATTCATTATCATAAAACTTTTATGATATTGTATATAATATAATATTGGAACATAATATTTTACGTACAGACACTATTCTGTCGAATGACAAATAAAATACTCCGTCTCACGTACCTATAAAGTATGTGGAACGGATTTAGTAGTGGATATAGTAATATTATATATACATTATTTTTATAGTAATATGCGTCATTTGGCAGATTAGTGATTAATAATAGGTAGGCACTACATAAACAGTGTGTGCCGAAAACGCAAGAAAATATTTTATACGTCGTCAAAAATCACAATATCGGTCCTTTAATTAACCTAATTAAAATATATTCTAACACACTGCATTTTCTGAATAATATAATATTATATAAATATACATTCAGTCAATGTATGCGCACATTTCAAAGTTTGCCTAATACATACAACAAAAAAGAGGTAGGTATACCGGCTATAATTTCTTTTACCTATTCGCACTTAATCGCCACTTATTTACCCATTTAGAATGATTTTATTTTTGATCATGAATCATCTAGTAAAGTATATAGGTAAATTACGTTTTAAAAATTCTTAATTATATTATGGAATAACTAAATATTGAACTGTAAGTATGTTTTTAAAAATGTACTAACATTTAGTGTTCTATTAATGATCTTTTAAACGGTAACATATATTTTTAATTGATTATCCAGAAGCAAAATATTTTTTTGAAAATGTTATCAAAATGTCTAGAAGTTTATTTTGTTTTGGAAAAGTACCGATACCTAGATTCCTTGAAATCATAGCTCGGATACGATGTCACTAAAACAATTAATGCTCCCACCTAACTATAATAATGCTTATTAGTTACCTATACTGAAATATCGATTGAGATTCGTCAACAGCACTTCCGTGTTAATCTATATAATATATATATATATATAGCTATAATTTATAAATGTACAAGTTTATGATTATAACTATAATCATTGATTATCAATAATAGTATAATACTATAATGCTAGTATTTATAATCAATGCTATAACTAAAAGATCTGTAATCGTAAATCTAACAGTGTTTTTCTCTGCAGGATAACCGAAGACTTTAAGTTACAAGCTCATGGTCTAGACTCTCCGCACCACCAGGGATTGTACGGGGGCCTAGGTCACTCTCCCACTTCCGGTTCGCCTTGTTCCGTGTACGCTTACCAGCCGTATCACCGAAATTACGGCGCTGGCCAGTTCCATCAGTCGACGGCCGCCGAAATCCAACAGCAACAGCAGCAGATACCAGTGTCCCAAATGGTGGTACCACCTTCTCTATCGGCGCAAAAGTCTTCGGACGACGCGGCCGCCGCTTGTTGGCTACAGCATAATGGCGGTGGATCGGTTTTCGAACACCACCTGCACCACCAACAGCAGCTGTCATCGGCGTACCAGTCTCATCACCAGCAGCGGCAGCAGGATAACAACGGCTTGACTGGAGGCAGCCAACAGCAGCAGCAGCAGCAACAACAGACGGCCAAGATGACGCAGCAACAGCAACAGAAGGCGGTCAAGGAGCAGCGGATCCGGAGACCCATGAACGCGTTCATGGTATGGGCGAAGGTGGAGCGGAAAAAATTGGCTGACGAAAATCCCGACTTGCACAACGCTGACCTCAGCAAGATGCTCGGTGAGTAACTTAATACATTATTAGTAGTAAGTAGTTTTTATAGGTAATATAACAATATAATATGATTCATTAGTATAAAAGTTCAAAGTTATCTTCAGTGGAGGTGAATTTGTAATGCTACTGTAAACCCCCCCCCCCATAACACGTTTATTGACGTAAAGAGACCACCAATGACCAATAAGATTATAAGATTTTCTATAGGCTATGATGCCCAAAACTATTATAGGTCGTGCATTTAGCTATAGACCTATAGTTGTCTTACTGACTACCTATATATTAGTTGTAGTAGTAATATTTATGTTTTTTAACAGTACTCCATGACTGGAAATAATAATCACGTTGCTATTCTGTTACATATTATATGAAATATATTTTCGCATGTTGGATGTCTGGCAAACTGTTATAAACTTTTTACGAATGCGTCGTTTGGGTTGAGTTAGTGTGTTGGTAAAATATATTATAATAATTGATAAATAATATAGTATAATAGGTATCTTACTATTCTAGCGAAATCTCTTCGAATATTAATGAATTACGTCAAACATACTCTTATTATAAGCGGGCGGTTTGTGTAAATTGTGATCGCGATTTCGGCGTGTGTTTTATTTTTATTTTATCGTTTGGTTTATGTATTATAAATATTAATATATACATGTCGTTCAGATAAACTATCGTCCGTTTGCGGTACTTTGCATACGAAATGCAAGTCATATATCTTGGGGATAACGAGAGGCTATATATTATATAGCCTCTATTTACAATAAATAAAAAGTGAAAAGGTGCATATGTTTAAGACGCGCGTATATACAGGGTGTCTCTCTTATATCTGACATATTATATTTAAACATACGTCGAAAGACTACATAATATTTCGATTGCATCCGGTCGTCATCAATCAACTGCAACATGTTACCTGTATTTTATCGAAAATTCGTTCACCTGCTTTGCGCGACGGTAATTTTTTTCCTAAAATTCCCTTCGCCCCCACACGGCATTTTAGATAGATAGTTACATAATATAACTGTTGCGTCCCATGTACAAACAACGGTTCCGTCGCAGCTGTCTTCGGCCGCTGCGGCGCTATAAAATATATATAGGTACACGTGCGGATAACGTCGACGCACACCTGTTAGAATATTTTTAGCTGGGGATAGCTGCGTACAGTCCTGGGCCTCGTGCTATACGCGAAGCCAAAACAATAGGGTAGTAAGTCGCTAAAAGTTGCGCAAATAAAAAATAAAATAAATAATAACAAACACAACGACTCGTATATACGACACGTCACGCACACACATACGAGCATGTGTCTTATATATAAAGTGCGTACTGCGTATACATTGTCTTTGTCCTCTATTTGTACAAAGGCGAGATGTATATAGTATACATAATATATATCTATATATATATATCATACATACGTAAATTTTTGCAAAGCAACACGAGCTCGGTATCTTATTGCGAGCGCCAAACCCGACATATCCATATAAGGGCCAAATGCATTAACCTCGCGCGACGACGGCGGAACAAATAGAACAAAACGCCCCTGTTTGTATTTAAATCGCTTATCCCTTTTTCTTTATTATTATTTCTATTTTTTTTTCTTATCTCACTTCACTTTTTATTTCTCTCTTGCTCTCCCGCCCTTCACTCGTGCCGAACTCCTCTGATGCAGCCTGCACTTCTGCCGTTGCCGCCTCGTCTGTACCGTTCGCTTTAACTTTAAACGTATAATATCATATATTTTTATATTTTATTAGAACTCGTCGTGCGACGTCTTTGCCGATGTCAATTAAACGTGCGGAAATTCGTGTAGTCACTGCTATAATATTTACATACACATAGTCAAACCGGTTGGTTACCTTAGAAAATTCGATATATTGCACCGCCACCGACGTTGTCGTCCTCATATCTAATCCTTGCGCAGTCTTTTTATATTTTTTTAACGCAATACCTACATGATCACCCTTGCGTATATATATCACGTACAATGATCAGTTACACAGTCGTTTATGGGTATAATTATATATATAAAAAAATAAAATAAAAACAAACACACTCTGCTAACATAATGTACACAATCGTTGTTTTTTTTTATTGAAATGTGTGTGACACAAATGTATATTTTTATATTATTGTCTACCACGTAATTCGATTGGCAATTTTAAATGTATAATTGTATAATAACAGTGTCGTACTGCTGCAGCTAATACTTGTTACAATGTGTCTATCGAAAGTAAAGTAACTATATTATTATTTCGTGTCTGGTAAATATTCAAAATATTTTAAAAACTAAACGGATGTCTAATAACACAATAGATGGTAATCAAAATATCTCTTGTTCGACTGTGTTATTTGCTCGTTTCAATTAAAAACTATACACATTAATAATATTGATAAGATCTTCAACTGTAATCGTTGTCCGGTAACATAAAAAACACACTACCGTATATAATAAAAAGTGATATATTCATTGATATACAGTATAATACAGTTTTTTTTAAACCATCGTATAAGCGATTGATTTTGAAATGTATCTGGATATACATATTGTGGAGTTCGATTTCAATATATTATTATGCGATCGGAAACTCGATTTTACAAAATAATATAATTATATAAATGTCGGCTAACAATTATATAATATGTTTTTAAATAATAATATAAACTTATGCTTGCATACTGGTAAGTTTATTTTTGTATTTAATTTTGTTATAGGTGGACATTCATGAAGGCCACTAAAGGGTATCATAAATGACTAATAGTTGTGTCTCAAAGATCAGACTAGGTTAATCGGTATTCTACTCCAATGCGCAACTTTACTTAGGTATAATATAATATGTATACATTATAGTTATACACTTATACTGCTAAGTTAAACTCCAATTCCCAAAGAAAAATATCGTTTCGTAGGTATATCTACCACCTACGTTAAAAAGTAGGTATTACAAATGAGAATAGTGTATTATAATATAGTAGATACATAATGATAAGTGATATTATGTAGTAGCAGACCTTTATATGGATGATTTAGTACCTATCTAATTTCGAATATATCAATTTGAACAATCGCAACGCTCTTGACATTATAGTATACCGCGGTTGTGTGTATCTATTTGATTTTGGACACCAATCGCAGACACTTAGTGTTATCGTACATTCGTACGTAATGTGGTGCGTTAACAAAAAGAGGCATTTTCTCATAAATATTGTTTTATATTCAACGAGATATGAACGAGATTCAACACGTCCAGCGTCCTCGGCTCCTCGGATAAGTTACCGTTGCCTCAGCGGGACAATGATCGTGTAATGACGTGAACATTATTGTTTTACCGTTTACGGGCAGACTAAATATATATACAATAATATGTACAAAACGAACGTATGAAACGCACCGAAATGTCAATCGGCTCGTCGACGTCAGCGCCGCAGCCTCGTGATTTCGTTATTTTTTTACCGCGTCCCCGCATCGCGATCGTTTCGACTGAAATGTAATTTTTATTTTTGGCACACAGTGAAAACTCGTAAAAATATCGTAATAATATCGTACCTATATGTACGTGCGTAATATTTACGTATAATATAACCTATATTATATGATTTCGGCCAGCTGTGAAAATAATAAATAAAATGAAAAAAACGTTTTCTTCACTCGATAGACGTTTAAAAGTCCACCGCCGCCACCACATAAAAAGATAAGAAGGCGGTTAAGCGGTTTCGTTAATATGTATTTATATATTATAGTGGATAATATAGGTATATAATACACTATATATATATATATATATATATCGTAAGAGGCGTTGGTCGATGCACACACGGTGCGTACACATCAAACAGACCGACATTGGAGTTCATAGGTCACCTCGACTCGTTATGTTTTATGGTTCTGGTTACATTTTGCGTTTTTTTTTTTTTATCTTATCTTTTTCGCGGCGCGCTCTGACCGCAACTCTGGTAATGTTATTAGGTATATATAGGCTTAAACGCGTCTTTTGCTTTCGCCCCCACTACCAACACACAACGAACACATTTGCACACACGCACACATACACACAAGTATGCTCGACATTGGCTTCTCTGGAGTGGGTTTTTATTTATTTTTTTCAATTTGAATGTTCGCGCTTCTCACTTGACTACCAAACGCTGCCGCCACAGCCCCCGCCGGGGCATAAAGGATCCGTGGGCGCGGCTCCTGCTGGTGACAACAAGCCTTCCGGCATGTCCTTTATTTTATGGCTCGAAAATAGTTGTTGTTTCTTTATTTTATATTTTCGGTACATTTTTTATTTCTTTTTATTTTGGTTTTTTTTCCAATATTATCGCAGTTCGAATCGGAACATATTTAACCGTCTTAAAAATCCGTCGTACATAAGTTCGGACGACAACATAATAATTTTGTCCAAACTTGTTTTTCTCGAATTTTTATCAATTTTTCTAAAATAAAATCACGGAGTTCGTGTGGTTTATTAAATCTCGTATCTCAAATGCGACAACAAAAAGTTCAGATCACAAATATTTAAAACGACACGCGGTCGAGATACCCATCTCGCATCGACTTACAAACATACATCTCATATTATACATAAAATAACTCACTTTTTTTCTGTAAATACCTGCCATCGGCGACCAGTGCGTGTATTTTTTACACGAAAATTGTTGATTTAAATATTACTCTGGCGGCGGTGACAACGGCTATGTTGATAAGAAAGTATCATTATATTTATTTGGAATTTATTTTTTTGAGGCTCAAGCGCAAATCATATTTATTACACGTTGTCGCCGTTATAGTAGGTATACATATTATACAAATGTTTAATATTAATATTTTTACTTGATATAGAACCGAAATTACTTTACTTACTATTGTGTACTATTGTTAAGTCAAGCACAACAGTATTACGAATCGTTTCGCTATGAGTAATAAAATAGTATACAATATCGCGCATATGGGATACCCAATAATGTCTGCAAGTATAGGTCGTCGGAAACTGAAGGAATACACACTCAA